TTTGGTCAACAAGGACTGGCTGAGCTCCCGATGGACACCCAGCCCTATGCTCGGCAGGGACACACAAGGTGCCCCTGTTGTGACAAGGCTCCTAGTCCAGCCCTAACAGGTTTCCCCTCCACATACCAACCTCCCTATTGCCCAGCAGGCTCTGCTCCACGCCCACCCCCTGCCGCCTCGGCTCTCAAGAGAAAATTGCCCGTCGCCTCCCTCAGGAATACCTGCCAAGGTTCTCAAAGTCAGTCTCAAGAACGCAAACAAAACTTTCAGCAAGGAGGATGGGTACAGGGGAGGAGGAGAGTGACACTGATCACGTGGCCCCCAGGCGTCACGGGTCCCATCAGGTCATTCTCCCAGCAACCCCACAAGTAGGCTCTGCTTCCTTGACTATACACAGAATGAAGCTGTGGCTCAGAGAGGTACAACCGCTTGCTCAAAGGACACACAGGAGAAAAATGGCAGAGCCAACTCCAAGCACGAGCCAACCGTGTGGCTCTTTCTCTGCGCATGCGATGTGGGATTCCACAGCGGCTGTCCGCTGTCTGGGCCACCAGATGGATTGCACGGTCCTTCTGCAATCCCCATGCAGCGGAGGTCCCCACCCCATTCTCCGGGCATTTTCCTGCTCCCATGGAAACCGGCCATTTTGAGAGAAAATGGGGACTCTTCTGAAAGACACCTGTGGCTCATCGATGAGCTGCGAGTGAGATTTTTTTTTTTCGTAAATTCAAAAGCTTCTCCTCTAGCTTCTAGGCACCTTCTGCTGAACAGACAGGAGCCACGAATAGTGTTTGGTATGTACAGAGAGCACACCTGTCCAACCTGTTCCCCCCTCCTTTCTCATCTCTGCGCACTGGACCAGGCATTTCACAAACACTAGACACAGAGACCCAAAATCAGCCCCACCGTACCCAAGCAGCATCGATGAATCCCTGTAAATACAGATAATACCCCCACTTCTCCATCCCCTCTCTCAGAACGACCCCAGGGTCCGAGTCCTTGGGACCAGCAGCAAAGCAAACCCCACTGAGTTCAGGGTGGAAAGGGTGGCCAAATCTTTGACAGTGGGATTTGGTTGTGCAGGATCCATCTGGGACACATCCAAACCTGCCTTGGGTGTCTGGCCGCACCAAATCGGGGCTCCAAGAGCAGGTGGCTGCCTTGGGTGGGGCGGGGCTCAACCATTACCACGATGCTCCTTTCCCTTCTTCTTCCCTCGCTGTTTTTTCTTCTCAACAATGGAAATACTGAAATTGAGAGTTTCCCTCTTTGCTTTAGCTCTTATGAAAAGGAAGCCCTGTGTACGGCTTACCTCCTCCCACGGAGCCTTTATTATTATTATTACTATCATGTTACAATCCTCCTATACCTTCTCCCCCCTATTTTTTTTTAAATTTTAAATGTTTTTAATTTACTTCTGAGAGAGAGAGACAGCGTAAGCAGGGGAGGGTCAGAGAGGAAAGCAGACACAGAATCCGAAACAGGCTCTAGGCTCTGAGCTGTCAGCACACAGCCCGACACGGGGCTCGAACCCACGCACCATGAGATCATGACCTGAGCCGAAGTCGGACACTTAACCGACTGAGCCACCCAGGTGCCCCCTTTTCCCCTTTCATCCAAGTTTCCTTGTATCTACTTATCTTGCCGTGGTGCCTGAATCTTTGTGGCCAACCTCCACTACTTGTGGAACAAGGAGAGCTCTAAACTCATAAAGGCAGTGTGTGTTGTGAAGGATGGGGTATGAAGGAAAGAAGTCCCTCAAGGGAGAGCGATGTGAAAGGCGCATTGGGGTTTGGAGAGAACGCCAGAGCACACAGACCCTAAAGGAGGCAGGGACTCTGAGTCCCATGAAGGACCGGGAGGCCAGCTGCCAAGGCTTCTCCATCCACCCAGCCCATGATCTGCAGCCAGCAGTTAAAGAGCTTCTCATTCTCTCAGAGGTGTTCATCATGAAGCTATTGGCAGGAACAGGCCCCACGCTTGCCCCTCTCCCTCCACCTCCATCTGTAGCTGTCCGCCCCTGGGCTTCCCTAAAGAAATGTCAGGCTGCTCTCAATGGGCTTCCTGAACTTGCAGCCTCCGCTCCCCAGGAGATGAGCAGAGCAAGGGGCCCTGATCTAGATGTTTAGCATTTCTTTTGAATTCCCTTCCTCTTGGAAAGCGGGGGCTGTGCATTCATGCCACGGTGCTGATCAAAATGTCTTGGGTGGCTTGAGTGTAGTTTTCTTTTGTCCCTTAACACTTGTCGATAGCCTGGGGACAGAGTCATGTCTCCAAAATGACTATAAACACCATCGTTTCTGATGGCCTAACCCACTACTTACAGGAATCTCAATTAATGCCAAGTGGGCCCAGAGCTTGTGGTCCAGCTGAGCCCCTGTCCACTCAGACCCCGGCTGCAGTCCTGAGGCCGAAGCACGACTTCGTGCTGGTGACCAGCGAGGCTGGTGACCAGACCCCAAGTCCTCGGTGCTTGGTGGGCCTGGCACGTGGGGACTGGGCGCTGGCCCCCGGCAGTGGCGGCACCACGAATCCCCTGCTGTCTGCATTTGTTCCCTTCTAAGAGCACCAAAGACAGAGTGCTGGGCAAGGGGAAGGCCAGAGGGACCTGGGCTCTGCACGCAGCACCCACCCTTTCCTCTGCACTGGGAAAGAAACACAGGGACAGAGGGAAGATGGGAGGTTCCTGGAGTCTGTTTATTTCCCTGCTCCTGGAGCCTGAGGACAGGGGTCCGGCTCTACTGAAGGGCTTGCTCCGGAAACCCGCAGGGAACCACACGTACCCAAAAGACCTCTGGCCCCCACTTTAGCTGAGGGTTCCTTCTCACTCTCTCTCTCTCTTTGTGTTTTAAAGACAGAGAAATGGACTGTCTGATGTACTTTTAAAGTGTAGAATCGGGGCACCCCGGTGGCTCAGTGGGTTAAGCATCTGACTTTGGTTCAGGTCATGATTTCACAGTTTGTGAGTTTGAGCCCCCCACTGGGCTCTGTGCTGCCAGCTGAGAGCCTGGAGCCTGCTTTGAATTCTATGTCTCCCTCTCTCTCTGCCCCTTCCCCCTGCATCCCCCCCCCCCATCATGCTCTGTATCTCTCTCTCAAAAAGAAACATTAAAAAATAAAATAAAGGAGAGCAGGGGACCCCTCACCCGAAACCTCACACTAGTAAGGACTGGAAGGAGGACTCCCCAGTCTATCCACCTAGGATGTGCTACCAGTATCAGTCTCACTTCCTCAAGGGTTACTGCCTGAGCTTGTAAGTCTCAGGTCTGGGTCTTCAGCTCCTGCCTGGGAAACAGGTGCAGCCTGATGCCCCGACTGGAAACACCAACTGCTGGCTTTTGCCCAACCCAGCTCCCTAGTTGTGTGTCCTTCATAAGAAGCCTGGCAAAGGATGAAATAGCTCTACTCTGCCTCCAATTTGCTGTGTGACCTGGAGCTAGTACCTTCCCCTCTCTGCACCCCTGAACACTTTCTTCGAGGCATGACTGGGGGCTGCACCTTGGAGCCGGGCTGGCTTTGGTGAGTCTCCACAGCAATCCTCACCCCACACTGCCCCGGCCTGCCATCCCACAGGTGCTCGGTACATGTCGAATGATAATTGCTCTGGCCACTAGGCAAACACTGCATTAACAGGGAGGGCTGGATAAAGCCAGGAGTCTGTGGTTTCTGGAAGAGAGCAAAGCAAAGTTATCCAGCTGAATGAGGGGAGACTTCTGCTTCCATGGAAAGGTTGTATTTTAGACTGTTGGGAGCAGGTGTGATTATACTTAAAAATGGGGCATTTTTGCAGAAAAGGTGAAAGCAAATTCCTCCATGTTTCCTTATACGCATTAGACGCACCTGCATCCCAGTGCAGTGTTAGGTGCTGAGCCTCAACCCAAAGGGTGTAAGTCGTTCACCACTACAGATCATCCCGCCTGCTCTTTGCAAATGAGCCGCTGGAGACCGTGCAGTGAAGGCAAAGCTGCCTGGAGCCTGCAGTGGCCCAGCGCTGGCCACAAGCCTCAGGACCCAAGGCGCTCTCTGCTCTCCCAAGCTCCCTGCCCACAGACCCCAGTCTATGCTCTCCTCCTGGCCTGCCTGACAATGGCCACCCTCAGCCCCTACGGCTTCAGTCCTCCAATCTGGAGGGTGCATCCCCTGCCTACAAAAATCACCCGGCCCCTTGGGTCAAATCAGGTTTGCATCTGGGCTCCTTTCCTTTTCCCACCCTACCCGCCCCCCCAAGCAACAGTCCCTGGTCCTAGGCATCCCCAGCCCCTGCGCACTTGGCAGCCTCCTGTGATGCTCACTGCCTGGTGAAGGCGAGGGGTTCAGGGACTCTACCTCACATCCCCAAGACGCCCCACCCAATACTTATTGTGTGTTTAGGCTGACTTGAATTTAAAGTCAAGTTCAACGTCAATGTAAAGAGGTGGGAGCTTTGGACCCGAGGTCTTTTTTTTTTTAAGTGTTTATTTTTGAGAGAGAGTGTGTGATGGCCAAGGGGCAGAAAAAGAAAGGGACAGAAGACCTGACGCAGGCTCTGGGCTGACAGCAGCGAGCCAGATGCGGAGCTGGAACTCATGAACTGTGACCATGAGCCATGAGCCCAAGCCTGGTGCCCCACACCTGGGTTCTTAAGTTAATTCCACCAATCGCTAACCAAGTGGAAAAGTCACCTGAACCTCAGTTTTCTCATCCTATAATAATGAATAATATGCCCCATATGTAGCCCAAGGACTGTGCTAAGGACTTGGCGTGCATTTTTCATTTCATTCCCTTCCTGCCTGATGAGAGCCGGCAGTTTCATCATGGCCATTTTACAGAAGGGTAAGTCAAGGCTTAGGGAAGCTAAGCCCCAATTCCCTTGATAATGGAGCCCAGTCTCAAACCCAGCTCTGCAGGATTCCAAAGGCCACTTCTCCCGCATGAGACCCCTAGAACCCGGACGTGCGGAGGCAGCGGGGCAAGGACGCTGCCCGGCCGCTCTCCCTCCTTCAGTTTCCCACCAGCGCTACCTTCCTTGGGCGCATTGGCGTCCCAGACGCTCCACATCTGCACGAAGAAGAATGGCGTCCAGCACACGATGAAGGCCAGCACGATAATGAAGGTCATCTTGACGGTGCGGATCTTGGCCTTGGAAATGAGCTTGACGCTGCTAACGCGCGCCAGCGCCGCACGCCCGGCGCCGCCCACGGCCACCGCGCCCTCCGGCCCCTCCGCCGCCGCCGCCGTCTTGAGCCGCAAGTTCTGCCAGATCTTGAAGCTGATGAGGCCGTAGCAGACGGCGAGCACGATGACCGGCACGATATAGACGGCGAGCGTGATCCACGTGATGTAGGCCTTGGGCCCCCAGGGCTGGATGAAGACCGCCCAGCAGTCGAAGACGCCGTCGGCCACCTCGCGCAGCGAGAAGATGTGCACTTGTGGGGCGCTGGCCACCAGGCACCCCAGCCACGTGGCGAGCACCGCCAGGCGGTCTGCGCGGCGACGCAGCGCCCGCAGCGGCTGGCAGATGGCCAGGCAGCGGTCGAGAGACATGAGCAGCAGCAAGTAGGTGGAGGCGAACATGCCCACCACCTGCAGGTACTTGACCAGGCGGCACAGGAGGTCGGGCCCGTAGAAGCGGAAGGTGACGTCCCACAGCAGCTGCGGCAGCACCTGGAACACCGCCACCACCAGGTCGGCTATACTCAGGTGCTTCATGAAGAAGAAAAGGCGCGAGTGCTTGTGGCGCGTGGTGCGCAGCGCCAGGAGCACGCACGCGTTGCCGCTCAGCGCCAGGAAGAGGATGAGGCACAACACGGCCACCTCCACGCGCGCCAAGGCCTCGTTGCGCTGCGGGGCCCCGGCGGTGCGGTTGCCCTCCGCTCCCGGCGGCGCCTCGCTGCCATTGGCCGCCTCCGCGCTCCAGTTGGCTGCAAGCGCGCCCTCCATGCCCGTGGCTGCCGTGCGCCCCTGGCCTCAGAGCCCTTTAAGGAGTGCGGCGGCGGCGGGGTGGGGCCCGGCACGCAGTCCGGCGTGTCTAGGGCGGGGTGTGTGTGTGTGGGGGGGCTCCTCGGGTTCCACTGCCTGAGACCCCTCTGACCGATGTGCTGGGTCGGAGCCTGAAACAAACCCAGAGGGCAGTGAGAAGACCGCGCGCTTCTCTCCCGACGCACGTGCGGTTCATCTGTCCCCTCCCCAGGAAGCCCAAAAATGATTTGGGACTAGGAGCACAGCCGCCGCCCCAGAAATCCTCGCTTGAGGTACTTCCTCTGAGCCACTGGAAATGAGTGGGAATCTACCAGACTGCCAGTGCCTTGAAAAGCGAGGGTCGGAATCAGCCCCTTTCCTCCGGGGCTGGGCCTCGCAAACAGGCTACCTCTCCCAGAGATTTCCAAACTAGCGACCTGCCACGCCCCTCCCCAGCACATCCATCTTCCGCAAGACGCCCCAAACAGCCATCTCTCCTAGGAAACCTTACTGCAGTTCTTTCCTCCGGAGAGCCCCCAGACAGCTACTTGCTTGGGAAACCCTAGCTCAGGACCATCCCCTTCCAACCTCCTATTTCTAAGATGCCTCCTCACCCCCGAACTTCCACAGTAAGTGCTTCCGTGGAACTCCAATCCAGCGCTCCCCTCTCCCCCTGAAGGTCTCTCAAAACCTATCCCCAGGAGCCCCAACTGCTATTCTTACTACCCCTGCCATGAGGATCCTTCCGAGCCCAGCAGCGTCAGGAAGCCGAGCGCGCGTCTGAGCCCTCGACAGTTAAGGGCTGTTCATATTGATCCTGAGCAGTCTCTTTCAAGGCTCTCGGCGCACTGGGCGTGCCTCCAGGTGCCAGGGGCGCCAGGCACCCCGCCACCTCCACTTGGGTTCCCGCAGCCCCAGCCAACCCGTCCACCCGTGCCCAAGACCCAACTACCTGCACCCAGTCCTCGAGCTGGCCTAAAGTTGGCTCCCTGGGGAAGCGGCACCGCCGTGGACGGCTCCAAAGACGCGTGCGCTCCCAACTCAGACTGGGGTGGCTGCTGGCAGCACCCAGTCCGATACTTGGGCGAGGTCTCAGATTTCTGAAGCCTCAGCTGGAATCCCCTCGCTCGCTCCTAACCGATCGCTGGGTAGGGACAGAAGGCGAGCGAGGAGCGCAGCCGAGGCTGTGCGCCCTGACCGCGTCAGGATGCGGCGCTGGCTGCTGGTGGCCGGCTTTTCTGCAGCCTGGGGCCCGGGCTGCACCACCACAAGAGTCCGCTGGGGGGCGCGGAGGGCCGCCCCGGAGACCCCCGCGGAGCCGCGTTGCCTCGTCCAGCGATCGCCCCAGGGCGGCAACAGGCTTATTTCAACAGAAGCTTAAAACAGCAAGAGGGAAGGAGCTCATAAATAACCCGCTTGGTTTCTTCCTTTCTTGGTTTACAAGCTCCTGACTCTCAGGCAAATGGGAGGTTTGAATAGCGGTGTTTTCCCCTGAGTGGATGGTGATGAAGTTACAGAAGCATTTAACTGATATTTCCCAAACATCAGGTTAATTTCAGCGCTTTTTATTTTTCCCTTCCCAAGAGCTTGATATACTGGATTTAGCAGTGAATTCAAGTAAATCCTTGCATTGCAGTGCTTTTGTTCCCATTCGCATTCCCGAGGAATGAGAAATGCCTTCTATTCTAAACGCTGGGAGAGAGTTCGGCTTCATTGTTTAGGTAGCTTTAAGGAAAGGTCTCAAGAAAAGAATCGATCTTCATTTTAAAGCGATTCTTTCAGTCTGCGGCCAGAAACCATTTCAGCCTCTTTGCCACACTTCAGAATTAAAACCCAACATGATGCCAAAGGGAAAAGAAATGTTAAGGACGGCTTCTTCTGACTCCAAACTCCTTTTCTTTTCCAAAACCAGGTGGTGGTTGTTTTTTCTCATAAGTGATTTTACAGACGCCGAGAATTAAGACAGGGAAAAATAGGTGAGGATTCAAAAATGAACAAGGCTCTTTAAAATTTAAACGCATACTTCCTCCTGACATTTCATTTCTCTCTTTTAATTATGTGGAGAGAATTGAGTTAGCCAAGCACTGGGTTTGCTGAATCCACAATTACAGCCCTATGCCAAGCCATCCTAGGGACAGACCATCCCTCTGTGCTGGTCCCGAGGTCCTTAGAGTTGAGTGAGCGTTCCAGGATGGGCCTGGGAAGTCCAGCAGCATTGGAAAAGGGTGAAAGCTGTCTTTCTTGCTCTTTGGGAGCTGCATCACAATGTTGTTACAAAACAAAATTCAAATGAATAAATTTTAAAGATCTTACTGGGTTCATTCAACAGTTCGTAAATCAGGCAGCCTCCCATCTAGGAGATGAAAAGGAGCTCCAAGGAGCTTTACAAAACGAAAGACTTTTATACACAGAAGGGAGCCCCGGAACACATAATACAGAAGTTATACAGGCTACAGAGCGACTGGTTGTTGCAAGGGTCTATGGGGCACACAGGGGTCTATCACACAGATTGTTCACTGCTGCCCATCAGGTAGTTCCTGACTGACTGGTCTGAAATGCCATCTCTGGGAGAGCTGAACCTCAATCCCAGTCTGGTGATGTGGAGCTTAGCATATGCAACTCCGTTCTGGATCCTTGTCTTGCATTTGTTTGTTTGTTTATTTTGAGAGAGGGAGAGAGAGAACATGGGGGAGGAGCAGAGAGAGAGAGGGAGAGAGACTCCAAAGCAGGCTCTGCAGGGTCAGTGCAAACCCCGACCCGGGGCTGGATCTCGTGAACCATGAGATCATAACCTGAGCAGAAATCAAGAGTCGGTGGCTTACTGACTGAGCCACCCAGGTGCCCCATGGGGCTGTTGTCTTGTTTTTGACGTTAATGACTAGTCTTTGTCACACAAATTACAGAAAAAAGTTACAAACTAGTTGGGTGATTGACTTGAAGAAGTCAAGTGATCTTGACTTTTTCCCAGGGCCTCAGTTTCCCTCTATGTAAAATGAGAGGGCTGGTCAAAATAGCCCATCTCTGATATCGGACCCTTTTGGCTTTCTGAAATTTGATGATGTACGCCATCTGAGAACCTAATTCTAGAAGGAAAAACACATCTGCCCCAGCCCATGGTGGGATGAGGAAGGGTTTTCCCTAAGCACCCCTGATGGGATATATTATATTTACCTGTCACCTTTTACCATAAAATGTGTGGAAAAAAAGATTAATGGATTTCCCAGGCACATCCCTCGGTAAATTAATCACTAGAGTCAGACCCTTGCTTCCTAGAATAATATTTGTGTAAATCTGGCTGGAGAGCTCTGTGTGAGAAAGCAGGTCATTCACAGACGTGGCCCATCCTTCCCGAGAGAAAGCAATGACAGAGAGAAAGCATGATACTTCCAGTGCCATAAACATGCCCATTGACAACGGATGTGACCACACGCCCCTATTAAGGAACTGGCATAAATAAATGCATCCTCTGTTTGTAGATGCTGTTGGCCTAGGTGACAACACCACAGACATAACTAGAGAGAAAAAGCATTTTGGGGAATAACTGAGCCTGTAATAAAAGCAGGCTGTTCTGTTCCTTTTTTTTTTTTTTTTTAAACATTTATTTATGCTTGAAAGACAGAGACAGAGCACGAGTGGGGGAGGGTCAGAGAGAGAGGGAGACACAGAATCTGAAGCAGGCTCCAGGCTCTGAGCTGTCAGCACAGAGCCCGACTTGGGGCTCAAACTCATGAACCATAAGATCGTCAGCTGAGCCGAAGTTGGACACTCAACTGACTGAGCCACCCAGGTGCCCCCAAAAGCAGGCTGTTCTTTTGCAGAAGAAAAGGTTTACTGAGAATCTGGACCTTTGGAATCTGTGACTTCTTTTGGAGAAGTAGGGCCCTGAGGAGCAGAGAGTCATTTCAAAGTGGTTGCTAGGTTCCCAACAGGCAGAACAGTTGGGATTCTCATGTTGTCTCTCTTACAGATGAGGAAACTGAGGTTCAGAGAGGGTGAGCGGCTTGTTGCAGGCACACAGCTGGTTCAAGGCCAGCGTGGCTGCAGTGAAGCACGAGATGAACCCAGAGAGGTCCACCAGAGTCAGACCACCCAGCCTGGCAGCCTCGTTAAGGGACTCTGCGCTCTCTCTCTGGGCATCTCTCTGACGCTGGGGGCCAGGGAGAGGCAGGTGGCTAAGCGGTGACCCGATGGAGAGATGCGATAAGACATAATGCATTTGCATCAGCTGGAGGAAGGACTGGAAGGGGGCAGGACGCCAATGGAAGAAGAGCCCACCGAGAATGGGGCTCGCCTGAGCAGCAGGCTGTCGGGGTTGGCATGGCAAGGACAGATGGCTTGCCCACGGTCTCGCTACCATCAGAAATGAGGTCAGACCGTGGCGCCTGGGTGGCTCGGAAAGCTGAGTGTCCGTCTTCCACTCAGGTCATGATGTCATGGTCTGTGCGTTTGAGCCCCTCAGTGAGCTCTCTGCTGTCAGCAAAGAACCTGCTTCAGGCCCTCTGTCTCCCTCTCTCTGCCCCTCCCCCTTCTTGTGCTCTCTCAAAAATAAATAAAACATTTAAAAAATAATAAAAGAAAAGAAAGGGAAATGAAGCCAGACCAAAGCTCTAGTCTTGGAATAGACCGAGCCGCCGCCTGTGTCATGAAAGGCCTGAGTAGCACTGAGAAGGTTCTGGAAGGACCTTTTGGGGAAGGAGAGGGTAAGGGGGCATGGTCTGAGGAAAGGGGAAACGAGAGGGGATTTGAAACAGGCCCTCCGGACACCCTAAGACAACCAAGCTTTCCTTTCCTGTCTGCCGCCCCTGCCTGGGTCTCTCAGTCCATCTCTGGTAAGAAGAAGGAACCTAAGGGAAATTCCAGTGACTGGACAGCTCCAAACACAAACAGTGTCCCGAGCCCCAGGCAGCCCCATGTCTCCCCCTCCTCCACCAATTCCAACAACCTACTTGATTCCTTTTTTATTATTAAAAAAAAAAAAAAAA